CTCTCTTTAATGACCTCATTGTATTATCATTTATTTAATCCATTTTCTGTGGGAGATCACTGGTCATTCCCAGTTTTTGGCTGTTAAAAACAGTCTTTTGCAAATATGCATATATTTGTAGGGTAATTACTATATAAAATTATCGTGTAAAAGACCTGCTTGCTTTTGTAATTTTAATGGATACTGCCCTCCCAAGAGCCTGTCTTGTGTTCTCTCTTTCCCACAAACCCTGACATTCCTTAAATTTTTGATGGTTAAATAAATTTTTAAAAAGATTATTGTACTTCTTGGGATGCTTGGCTGGCTCAACTCGGTAGAGCTTGCAACTCTTTTTTTTTTTTTTAAGATTTTATTTATTTATTTGACAGAGAGATAGAGAGCACAAGTAGGCAGAGAGAGAGGGAGAAGCAGACTCTCCACTGAGCAGGGAGCCTGACGCAGGGCTCGATCCCAGGACCCCGGGATCATGACCTGAGCTGAAGGCAGCCGCTTAACTGACTGAGCCACCCAGGCGCCTCACAACTCTTAATCTCAGGGTTGTGAGTTCAAGCCTCACACTGGGCTTGGAGCTTAAGATAAATAAAATAAATTAAAAAAATATAAAGCAAAATTAATTGTATTTCTTTAGTGAGACTGTCTCCTTGTACATTGGCTAATTGTATTTTTTTTGACAGCTATCTGTATTTTGCCAGTTTTCTGTTGTGTTATAAGAGTTCCATTTTTATAATTTTCTTTATTTTTACTTTTTTTAATTTTATTTTATTATGTTAATCACCATACATTACATCATTAGTTTTTGATAATTTTCTTTATTTTTAAATGATGTTTTGAAGTATACCAGTCCAAGATTATTTCTTTAAACAATTCTTTTTTCTTTTAACATTTTTATGGTTTTATCTTTTGCATTTAAATTTGCAGTATAAGATAGAAAATTGATAGTTACTTTTATATAAAGTATTGATATAAAGATGCAGCTTAATTTTCACAATAATCTATCTTTTCTCCATTGATTTGAGACGAAATCTCATGTACTTGTTTCAGTAAAGTCTGCTAAGGGAAATTATTTCCATCAAACACTGGACAGATTATCACAGCGAATTAGTATACTCAGCTTGGAGATAGAGGATTCTTGCTAAACTAACTTGACAGGATTCTTGCTGAAAGCAGTCAGTCCATGATGATCACACACGAAAAGTGGAGGTGAGGAACTGGATCAGGTACAGAGGTTAGGAATTCTCTCAAATGTCAGGATTCTTTTTTTTTTTTTTTTAGATTGTATTTATTTGCGAGAGAGAGAATGAGAGACAGAGAGCATGAGAGGGAGGAGGGTCAGAGGGAGAAGCAGACTCCCTGCC